AAGTTTACTATACGTAAAGTATACCTTAATTTTTCAAAAAAAAAAAAAAAAGGAAGGTCAGGGATAGTTAGTTATGCATTTTTAAAGTCCTTCTGGACTAGGTAAATTTTGTTGTCATTTTTGAACCACAAGCCATCCTTCACTGAGTGTTCCATTACCCAATGATCCTTTGTTCAACTTGTCTGGTTTCATAATCATTAATGCCTCTTACACTGTCATAGGTCTGATGCTATAAGACCTTTCATTACTATGTTTTCAAATCAATGAGTAGGAACTCCTATTTAATTTTTAAAAATAAGATAGAACCTGCAATGCGGCAGACTCAGAAAATCTCCTGACATTCTTCAAAAGATTGAGATAGGCTGAAAAATAGAACTGTGGTAATGATACAGTCTTAACATAAAAGAGCTAAATTAAAGGTCAGTCCCAAATCCATTCTGAACTTCAGAACTCTCTCAGGGCTCCTAAAACAAAGCCAAGGGTAGGTATTAGACACCCAACACTTGAATGAGTGAAGCAACCCTACAGTTCCATGAGAAAATAAACAGTAGAAAAGAAAACAGTCAAATGTGAAACAAGGTTTCTTACTGTTCCCTGCAAGCTTGGGCAGCTATGTTCCAGGTGCCTTGTTGCTGTGTGATCAAGGAGTGGCAGTAGCCTGAGTGATGGTGCCACCCAGCTGGGCAGGATTTGTCTTCCACCTCCTGAAAAATAGTTGTCCGTGTTCACATCATAATGGTCTTCACAGTCTAGAGTCTGTTCTCAGCATAAAGAGTCCTATGAGTCTCCTACCTTGAATAGTTTTGTCACCAGAAAGGAGGTCAGCCCTAATTCCAAGTCTCCACCTTGAGAAACGCAATGGCTTCTTATAGAAAACACTATTAAAGTTAGCAATGTTTCAGTTCTATACCTGTGGCAATCTGATAATGGAACAAATTCTTTTTAAATTGTATGAATATAACTAATGTGTTAATGTGATTTTTAAAACACCACTTGGGCCATTTTTTTTCCCTCTTCTTCAAAGCGTAACAAAGGCAGGCAGATGTAGCACGAGGTGACAGGTCATTTCCCCTCTGCTAATTACAAGATGTGATTAAACAATACGGTGAATGTTTAAATAAAATAAATTTATTATAGTAAGAGACACATTGCCATTAACCCCCCCCCCCTCAAAATACCACCCCTCAGTTCAAACACACTTATCCCATCATTCTTGCCACTTTCTGAAGCAGTTCTGGAAGTCCTCTTTCAAGAGTGTCTAGTTGAGCTGTCATGGCTGCCTTGATGTCCTAAGTCATTTTGACTTTGGGGAAGAGCCGGAAGTCGCACGATGCCAGATCTGGTGAATAAGGTGGATGAGGACACACTGCAATGTTTTTATTTCACAGAAATTGCCGTACCAGAAGCTATCTGTGACACGGAGTATTGTCATGATGAAGGGCGATTTACAGCACACTTTATAACACATCTTCTCTCAACCATTGCTACACCCAACTGACTGCACCAAACAAGTCAAAACTTGTCACACACTCTTACTAAGGTTTTAAGTGCCACTTTACATACTGAAAATCCCTGCCTTACCATTGGATGGCACTCAGCGGCAGCTTTCACCGTATTTTGTGATCACAGTGGAGAGGCTCCATATCACACATTGCTTCTGGTACAGCAATTTCTGTCAAATAAAACATTATGGTGTGTTCTCATCTATCTTATTCATCAGATCTGTCACTGTGTGACTTCTGGCTCTTCCCCAAAGTCAAAATGACCAAAAAAGGTAAACATTTTGAATTGATTCACGACATCAAGGCAGCCACAATTGCAGAACTAAAGACACTCACAAAAAAGGACTTCCAGAACTGCTTCAGAAAATCGCAAGAGTGATGGGATAAGTGTGTTCAAAGTGAGGCGGAGTATTTTGAGGGGGATTAATGACAGTGTATCTTTGACTGTAATAACTTTCTTTTTAATTTAAACATTCACTGTATTATTTGATCACACCGCTTATCGCAGGGCATACGCCAAGTAAAGGTATTTGGCAGTTCAGCCTGTGTCCAACCTTGGTTTGGGGGCTCCAAGCTTTCCAGGCAATCCCATTGCATTTATACAGCTTTTGGAGGCTTTCTTCGAGGTGGAAGAGTCCTTTCAATTCCAGTGTGCAGTTCTTTGGAAATGAGGGCAAATGGCTCTATAAGAAGAAAAGGCAATGAGATTTGACTTAACATACATTGATGGCATACTTACCTCCTTTAGGTCTTCATTTGTTGAGTAGCATTTGTGTTGAGTCAACTATCCTCAAGCTTTCTGGCCCAGCAAACAGCTTGCTATAAGGTGAACAGGAAGAAGATTTTCATACCTGTCTGGGGAAGTGTGAGTCAGTTGTGGATTCCACCTTATCTGCTTGAGGCAGCTCTGCCACTTTGATTATCTTTTGTGGCTGACTAATAATGGATAATTTGGTCTTCCTTCTGTAAGCTGGGGACCTGTCATCCTCCAGTTGCAGGGAAACCATTCTATGATACTGAGGAAATTAACAAACAGTAATAAAAAAAAATAAACACCAAGATAGCAAACAAAAACATTTGTTATAAAAATGAGCAATTCAAAAATTGAATAAAAGCAAACAGTTTCTTTTTTTTTCTGACTACCCAAGCCTCTAACACAAATTTCAAAACAGGTTTTTGAAATTTAAGAGAAACTTATAAAAAAACATACAAAAAAAATAGATTCAGCAGATACTTTGCATCCATAAATACAAGAAATTTAGCAATTCTCTCAGATTATACTTACGTTATAGATGACATCTGTTCCATTTCTATAAACAGAGGATGGATGAACCTGAAATCAGCACAGAACCAAATATGAACAAAATTGGTTTGAATAATAATTAGCAATAGAGTAAAACCCTTCTAGTAAGATCCTGTTAATATCTGAAATTTTAAGAAATTCCTCAAGATTTTCCATGCCCAAATCATTAGGATTTTAATAAAAGATCACTGGACCTAATCACAATTTATCAATGTTAATTCATACATTCATAGCCCATTAGGGAGAAAAGACATCCTTATTTTGTTGGTACATCTATAATACACAGAGGTCCAAGAAAATGCACACACATACTCATGACTGTGTGTCTGGTTAGACTGCTAGCTAATAAGGTCACAGCCATGGTTTCCACACCCAAGTAGATTGCTTAATCTCATTCTATTCCAGGGCCACTTGTCATTCCTGTCTTGCTCACAAAAAGAACCAAAGCAGAAATCATCTGGATGAGTCAGTATATCTATCACCTCAAATAGTACAATTCATGAAGTGGGGCAGCATTATGCTATTTGTATACAAAAGGCACTTCTTGACCATATAAGGAACCATGGCCCTCACGCACTGGGAGAATCAAAACAGCTTCTCAGTGTTTCAGAATACTTGTTAATATTAATAACTCTTGATTCTTTTAATATGTACCCCACACATCAAATCCCAAAAGTTGCCCATCCTTACTGTTTTGCCATTCCCTCGGGTCCTAAGCTTTAGTCCATAAAGGTCTGTAGAATCAAAGCCCTGTGGGGTGTCTCCCCTGGCAACTGCTAGCCGCTTGGAAGACGGAAGAGGTCTTCTTTCCAGATGAAAAGAGCCAGAAGCACTGTGTGAGGAGGACCCTGGGGACAGTGGGGGCCAAATGCCCTTCTTCCATGCGTTGTGCTTATTTGGGTTGAAGGAATATGAAGGATGGCACTGTCCTGGAGGCATGCAAGATGGCAGGTCAGTGCATTTTACACAAACAGATATGTGATCACATCGACACAGCCCCTGGAGCAGCTTGTCATTAAACTTAGATGGATGCTTTTCCCACCAGATGTTGCCTTTTTGCCATTTGCCAGAAACTCCTTTAGTCTTCATCAGTTTCCATCCAGGAAAGCTGTGCCCTTCTGCACATCTACAGGGTGATTATAAAGTCATGAAATTGATTTCACAAACCGCAGATGAAAATCACTTGGGTGATTTTATAATCATACCGTCTACTGGTACCATAACAGCCTCCCTTCTCTTCATATTATAGTACTCCTCAATATCTCAGGGATATTCACTGATCAATATCATTCCACAGACACTTCAAAGTTATCATCCTTTCCCCAGTCTCCTGGAGGCAGAAACTGGAATTGTTTGAAGATATCAGTGAAATCAAGTCACGGTTATATAAATTAGCATTCAACTGCTACAGAACAAAGATCCAACAAATCTTAATGCAGCTACTTCTATTGGAAACATTGCCAATTAGTATGAAAAGAATCTCAAAACAGAACTCCCAGTCTGGATATTTTATACTTCAAGTGTAAAGCGTGTACTTTGTATATTATTTATGTACTTGATGTGAATAGAAAATTCTACTGAAAAGAAATAAATTGAGTGAAGAAAAGTGGTGGGGAGGGATGTTGTGAAAATGTTAGTATTATAAAAGAAAGAGGATAGTGTCTATTTTTATTACAGGATGAGAAAGAGGAGAGAATAGATTTCAGATAAGGAAAACATATAGACTATAGGCTATGACAGGTATAACAACAGGGATATAAGAGCAAGCATGGTGCCTGGGTAGTTATCAAATGCTAAATAGACAACTACAAAGTGTTTGGCAGGAAAAAAATCAGAGCACCAAGGACTTTGGTTGGTGTTTGTTTTATCGGTCCACAGGTTGTTTGTTGGCATTTACTTCCCAGGACCTATTTGGCTCTGCAACTCAAGGTTATTATTCATTAATATTCTCTAGCTGCTCCTGAATCCCCAAGCCAGCTGCATCTTTCACATCTATTTCTCTCCCATTCCTTCCTCTTTTAGACCTGGTCCCATTCCAGTGGGGTCTCAGATTTTAGGCATTAAGAGCTCTCTTTAACAGAGGAAGATAATTACAGCCCTACAAACTCTGGGGGGAAATAATTGCCGATAGATTCTCACCAACATTGTTTCCCCCTTGGTGAGAACAACAAACGGGTAGGAAAAAAACCAACTATGGCACTGACTTGTTGCTTTTCTGAACCAACAGTTCTTAGCAGGAGGAACACTGCATGAAGCAGAAACCAGAATAAAGGGCCTACATCACGACTGAGGTTGCTTTCTTGACAAGAAATTAAGCATTTTTGATGTGAAGGCGTTATCAAGCACACTGGCTGTTGAAAGCAAGCAGCTACAGCGCCAGGACTGCTCCTGATTTCAAGATGAGGATCAAAAGAATACCTCCTTTTGAGTCCAAAATTTTCACTGCAGCTTTTGTCTTGGTGCCAAGAACTGCATTCACAGGGGAGTTCAGAATTACTTCAAAGACCTCATCATCTTCCTCTAATCCGTCATAGGTAATTGCTATATTCCACATCTTAGTTGACATTCCTACAAGAAGTAAACATTTTAATTACTCTTTAATTGCTATTTCAATCACCTAGGTGTCAGAGAAATATATTAATTAACATGTCTACAGCTAGACTGCAGTAGCCTGAGTAGCTATTGTACTGCTACCGACTCACTCAAGTCCTGCTGTTCCCCCAAATAATATGAAAAGACCACATTTGTTCCTGGACAACGATGATTCCGTTTAAATGCAAACACTGTAACAAAAAAAAAGTAAGCTGCATTTTGCAAGGAGCGAACAACAAAAAAAAGGATCTTAGATGAGATCCAAGACTTAATTTTTTCCCAACCTGCCACTTCTCATCTTAAGAATAAACAAGTACTGCAATCTAAAAAGCTTAAGAGTTTCAAAACTCTTAAGACAGTTAGAAGTGATTGTCGGATGGTACTTCGTGTGATTCATAGAACCCTTGAAATGATTGATTTCTAAAGACAGCTGCCTCGATCCTTGATCGGCTGCCCCACTTCCTGAGATCCTTCTAGCCTGCAAATTCTTTTGCTGATGATGTAATACTCAGTAGTTTGATAGTCTCCTAGAGAGGATTTATGGACTGGGAGGAGTAGAAATAGACTGAGCCCTCTTGTTTATTCTCTTTCTGTCTGCCTCTGTTCTTGAAGTTACAACCAAGCTTCATTTACAGTAACTTTGTGAATATAACACAAAACTGTTTTGATGGTTCAAACATATCCCCAGCTAGCTGACCACCACTTAGATGGGATGCAAATCAACCTCAGAAACACAAAATATTAAAGGTGGAAGAAACTTTTGAGATTGTCTGATCCTGACCAGTTTTCCATGATGTGGATTATAGGACATCCTCATGAGTTTAATTAGGGGGGGAAAAAAGTGGTGGCGGGAAGAAAAGAAAGTACTGTTTAGTGGAGAAAGAAGGCTCAATTTTTAAGAGGAAAAAAAAGATGATGAACTCATGGTTTAACCTTCTAGGACTAAGTTTTGAAAACTTTACTCATTGGCTATTGGAGTGCTTTTATTCCCATCTCCCCTTTTACATAAGCAGTTAAACATTTCATTTCTAGCCTCTGAGAATCTGAGTATGTTTCTTCTTGCAGATATTTTTTTCAACAGATTTATGCCTCTCATTTGTGTTATCTATATGATGGCCTCCTTCTTGAAGACATGCCAATAATACATTTCACGAGCTATAGAAAGTCTCGTCTATTCATAACCGAATCCAATGGAAAGATGAAACTGTTGACTTACCCTACACGTGGCTGTACTTAAAGGGAAAAAAATTAAGTGTATTTGAAATAATTGTATTAAAAAAAATAGGCTGACAGCTCATTTGTTAGGCTTTCAGTATCAACCAAGTTCTTAAAACAATTACTTTCATAGTCTGCAAAACAAAAGTTGAAGCATCTAATACAAAATATTTTATAAGTCCCACCCTATGAATGGATCAATCAATACATCAAAGTATATTAATTTGTATCTATTATGTAATTACCTTTGCTTTCGATGCTATGGAGCATGCCAGAGGTATAACAAGCTCTGACATGAAAGAATTTAAAACCTCTTTGAAGAGACAAGATGTAAGTACCAGAAAAGTCGATTATTCAAGGCTATACATGATTAGCTGCCAAAAGACACAGGATAGATGGTAAATGCTACATGTATGTGGGCTCCAGGGTTGGAAGGATTTGGAGGGAGGAAATGGGAAAACGACAAAAGCAAAGGCAGTAAGATGGCAAAGCAGAGGCCTTGATCAGGGAAGGCTGAGCCGATTAGCTGGCTGGAGTGGAGGGGCCATGGAGGTGACTGGGAAATAAAGGGTAAGGCTGCAGTTGTAGTTTGTATGTAGCCAGATTGCAAAGAGCCCTGGACATTTACTAGGTGGCTGGATTCAGACTTTAAACCAAAGGCAACAGAGAAAGCTCTTGAAAATAGATGTCTTGGAAAAATGAAACCAAAAGTGTTATGTGGGAAGATTTAGGGGCCCCAGCAGAGAGGCTAGACGTTGGGGGGCCACATAGGCAGCTGCAGTAATAAAACTGGCATAAAGAGATAAGAGGCTGCACAATGAAGAAAGCTTAAGAATACTAAGATTTTCACTATTCAGAGAACTGTTTTGACTCTCAAAGCCCACGGAGTTAAGCAGTGTTCAAATAAAAACCCAACACGAGAAAATATTTCCAAGCCTAACCAACTGCCCTCTTATTTTAAGAATTTTTTTTTAAATTACAGTACTTCTCCTTTCCCCCACACCCCCCAAAAAACCTTAAAGTTTTTGTAAGACATTATGGAGTAGAAACAGATGGTTAGAAAAAAATCTATTCCCAGTTTCATTTAAGTGCCTCTGATTTGTTTGCCTGCATTTCAACTTTGTTTCTGTGCCTACCAGGTGTGCACATAAGACCAACGTTTTTACATTAATGAGATTGGAAGTAAGACTTTCTTGCTTTTTCTTTTTCCTTCCTTTCCACTTTCAAGGTGCAAAGTATTTGCTAAATTACTGAGATTATAAGCAATTTCAGAAGGCTTGCACTGGCCCCCTGTTTCCATGAAACAAAAGGTGCTGAAGAGAAGGGAGAAGGTGTCATTTTATGCAGACATATCCCACTTTGCAGAGCAGGTCAATTGCTGGATATTTTCCTGCAAAGCAGATGTCACCATTGAACAACATTTTTCCCAATGTTTTTTAGTAAAGGCCACATTAGAGAGCTGTTCCTTTGGGAAATATTTTGACTCTTAGGAATGATGAAGTCTCAACTAAGAAGATAACAAACCTTTTAAGAACACATATTTTGAAGGAAAACAATCATTTTCTTAAGAATATTTACACTTTGACTCAAGGTTAGTCACAAAAGCTGAATACAAAGGAGTCAGGATTAGTTTTGGGCTTGGTACAATGACTACAAGATGAGCTTACTTGAGTATAGCTCACTAGCCTGAAAAGTTACGCAGTTTCTGTCCCACTGCCTCCCAAGAGTTCTCAAACCTTATAACATCCCACTGTCTTTGATTTCTCACACTCTTCACCAATCATGGAAACTGCTGTTTTTATTTTTTATTTATTTATTTTAAACATTTTTATTGGGTAATTGGGGGATGGGAACAGCGCTAGGGAATTGGGGGAAGGGGAAAAGACAAGTTGCTGTCCTTTTGTTCTTCAGTCTAGTTGTGGAGGATGTTGCTTCACTGGCCCAAGTTGGCACCATCATTGAGCTCTTCCCGGGCGAGGCAGACCAGTCACCGGCTTCTGGACAGCCACTCACTGCGGCTGCTGGCCGCTCACGCTGGCTGCTGGCTACATACGGTAGCCCATGGCAACCCACTGCAGCAGGGGTTGCAGCCTACTCTGCCGCCGGCGACTCATGACAGCCCAGCTCCAAGTTGAGCTGTTGTTCAGCATCTTAGCTGAAGAGGGCAGTGTTACTGGCCCTCATATGTGAGATCCGAACCAGGGCCCTCTGGCGTCCCAAGCCAGCTCTTAACCAATGCGCCACTCGGCCGGCCCAGGAAACTGCTGTTTTTAAAGAAATGAACAGATTGTTGTGGGCAAAAGGGGTGGAGGTAGAGATGGCGACACCAGACCCGAAAGAGACAAGAATTAACAATATGGGAGCAAATAAATATTTGCAGGACCTGTGGACATGGGGAACTTAAAAATTCTCTCAAGTAAGACTTCAATTTATGAAACTGTTTCTGGCTAACAAGTTCCAAAACAATGAATAGCCAAGTGTTGTTTCTTTTTAATTTATAAGATATGTTTATTTTTGTTCTTAACATATTTAAATAATCTCTAAAATCATTACTACCTACAACCCTTACAAGTCATTAGTATTTACTCAAAAACAGCATATAAGCTCTTCTAGACAAATGGGCATTTACCTTATCCAGTGAAATAGCCAAAAAGTATCTTTCAGAGATTCTTCTAGGGGGATACATTCTCGTTCCTATCAACCCAAACAGAGCACTGGCAGGTGACTCAAATCTACTAAAAGCCAAAATCACTTATGGTCTTATAACAAACAGACCTCAAATAATAGAGCTGACATATGACAGATTCTTGGCTCTCAAAAAGTGGAAAGGTTGGAACTGCCTTAACACGAAGTACAAAAAGGACCTAGTGAAAATGCATCAAACCCTTTCATTTTAGAGTTGACCATGACACAAGAACCTGCAGTAACCTGAAGGCCAACATCCAATACATAACAGGAATAACTCTTTTCTACAAAGTTTGGTCAGCCCAAGGAACAAACTTATGCCTTAAATATCGCAGGAGGAGGCCAATAACAATATTTGGGTTGCTGTATGTCAAATTTAAGACTCACTGTGGTAGGTTGAATTGTGTCACTCAAAAATCCATATGCTGAAGTCCTAACTCCCAGTAACTCTCAGTACCTTATTTCCAAATAAGGGCATTGCAGATGGAATTATTATAGTTAAGATAAAGCCTTACTAGAGTATGGTCTCTGATCTATTGGGTCTTCGGAAAATTCATGACACATGTTTGCAACAGGTGGCACCAGTTCATTTTTTGAAGTACTAGAGTCATTTGCATCTATCTTATTGCTGTCATTTGACAGCTGACAGTTGTAGCTTCATTCTAAAAAAAGATTGAGTGGGCCGGCCGAGTGGCACGA